GTTAAGAACAGTTTCAGGTTAAGAACGGACCTCCAGAACGAATTAAGTACGTAACCAGAGGTACCACTGTAACTCTGATTGCCTGTTTATCCTCCAAAGAATCTCACAAGAACCCTGGGGGGGTAAGATAGACTGAGAGTGACTGATCTACAATCATGGATTTGTTTCAGCATCAGAGCAGCAGCATTTAGGGATGGCTGATGGAAACATTTGTGCCTTCCTTGACATGTTTCAGACCATGTTGTTATCTAGCGGGAACTTTTATATCTCTGGAGGTATAAAAAAAATGCATTAACAGCAAGCACTCTTAACACAACCCCTTTTCCTATTTAAATAATAATATAAAGTTGACTAATATATCCAAGAACTTTGCATTTTTCTGTGTGGTTTGCTCACCCCAATGAAATGTTTGTGTCCCCAATTCTGAAACGGCACCTCTGTTCAGCAAGATCATTTTGCTGAGATGGCGATGTACCAGACAGATCCCTGATGCAACGTTGTGTTAAGAATATAGAAATGTTTCTGATTCCTGAATCAGAACATGCTGCATGCCTCAGCAGGACACAGGTACAGAATGAATACTGTTGGCAACCTGCCATTTTGAACGTGATTAATCTTTCAATGGGAGTCAGATATGAATGGATTGTGTACAGCATCTCCATCTCTTCCGCCTCACCCTTGCACTCACACTTCTTCAGTTGTAAGTCACAGATCTCTGCAACTTGCAATTATTTTTACCTGACATTGTCAATTATGGCAGCAACACTGATGAGAAAGGGGTAAGTTGCACTGAGATGCCAAACCCCATTATTTTAACTTTATTTAGAGCTGTCAAGCGCTAATAATTTCAGAGCCATTATAGGGCAAAGAAGCACGAAGGAGGTCTTCATAGCAATCTAAAAACTATTATAGCCTGTCACAATGTAAATGGGTTATGAATTAGCAAATGCCTAATTTTTATAACTTTTGCTTTTAAATTATATGTCCCACTCATCTAATGACACAACAAATGCCAGAAGACTCTTACGCAGCATGTTGAAAATTCTAATTATGGGCTGCTCTGTTGTACAGTTGTGACTTACGGAAGTACTTAACCTGGGATGCTTGTGTTAAGCTTAATGGGTTGACAGCAACGTGCCTCAATTTATTGCTTTATCCTCTTACAGAAATCTGTGATGGCAACTCACATCACTTTTGAAGAACAGTAGCCTGTACTGGACATTTCTGAGTATACATCTATATCTGTATATCATAGTTTCATGAAACCCAGCATATATACATACTAATCCTTAGATGCTGACCCTTTTAGAGAAGATGGGTTTTGTCTAAATAAAAATAGCCTGTGCAAAATTGCTCATTTACAGTGCTATTTCACCATCTTTTTGTTATGGGTGGACCAATGAACAATAATAATCTTCCTAGCAAGACTCTGATTCTCCATATTCAGAAGAAGAATATCTGTGGATTCCACAGATATGCTTCCTTTTCTGAACATGGAGATTCCAGATGTTGAGGGGTTAACATTGGCTCCCAGTACGTTTCTGAACACAATTCAAAGTGTTGATGCTAACCTTTAAAGCCCTAAATGGCCTTGGCCTAGTATAACTGAAGGAGCGTCTCCACCCCCAATTGTTCAGCCCGGACACTGAGGTCCAGCTCCGAGGGCCTTATGGCAGTTCCCTCACTGCGAAAAGTGAAGCTACAGGGAACCAGGCAGAGGACCTTCTCGGTAGTGGCACCTGTCCTGTGGAACGCCCTCCCATCAAGGAAATAAACAACTATTTGACTTTTAGAAGACATCTGAAGGCAGCCCTGTTTAGGGAAGTTTTTAATGTTTGATGTTTTGTTGCTGATTATGATTATGATTACGATGATGTTGGGAGCCACCCACAGTGGCCGGGGAAACTCTGCAAGATGGATGGTGTATAAACAAATTATTATTATTATTATTATTATTATTATTATTATTATTATTATTATTATTATTATTATTAACAGCAGGAAAAATCCATTGCTGGTACAGCCTGCTGTTACAGTTTTCGGTGGCATCTAGCAGCACATTGTCGGAAACAGAATGCTGAACCAGATGGACCTTTACTTTGAGCACTCTGGAGTAATCTTAAGGCAACTAGGTTTTATTTTTTATTTTTATTTTTAAATGATATTTATTAAGATTTCAGAAAAAAGAATTACATAAAAATAAGAAAAGCAAAAACAAAATACAAAAGTAAAAATACAAGAAAAATACACAATACAAAATACAGAATAAAAGAATAAAAAACACTTAAAAAGGAATAAATAAATAAATAAATCTTTCCATGCCTTACATTCATATCCTTGTTTCCCTGACCTCCGTAATCGGGCTCCTTTGCAAGTTGGGGGGGGTGCAAAAGGTGCCCGCCAAGTCCCACGGTCACAGGCTTCACCCGCCTGTGATTTTTGAAGGGTCCCCGCTTCGCCGTAGCGGTGCAGACCCAATTTCCGCAGAGCCGGTTCCCTCCGAATCAGAGGGAATCCGCCATTACCGATGGCGCCACCCCGGAAGCCTCGAGATGGACCTTCTTTTTTGGCAACTAGGTTTTATACCAGAGGGGGGAAACCTTCAATGAGGCATAGAAAGCTACCCTATACTGAGTCAAACAGATGCTCCATTCAACTCAATATAATCTACACAAGGGGTGAGAATCTCTTGTCTGAGGACCAGATTTGGCCCACCAGAGGCTTTAATTTGATTCATAATTTGACTTCCCCAAACCACTCCCATCTGCTACTTAAAAAGGTAAAGGGACCCCTGACCATTAGGTCCAGTCATAGCCGACTCTGGGGTTGCGGTGCTCATCTTGCTTTATTGACCGAGGGAGCCGGCATACAGCTTCCGGGTCATGTGGCCAGCATGACTAAGCTGCTTCTGGCGAACCAGAGCAGCAGACGGAAATGCCGTTTACCTTCCCACCAGAGCGGTACCTATTTATCTACTTGCACTTCGACAGGCTTTCGAACTGCTAGGTTGGCAGGAGCAGAGACCGAGCAATGGGAGCTCACCCCATCACGGGGATTTGAACCACCGACCTTCTGATCGGCAAGCTCTAGGCTCAGTGGTTTAACCCATAGCGCCACCCATGTCCCTTTTTATCTGCTACTTACCTGATGCCATATGTAACATCAGGTGCAGTACAGGTAGAAATGTGGATGGCAATGCATAATGGGGAGCTTTGAAGTGTGTCCCCACTAGTGTATTGCCAAGGGAAAGCAGACTTTGGCTCACCTCTATTGGGTTGTTGGGTGTATGCACCATGGAAACTTAGTCCAGCAGTTGAGCTCACCACAAAAGAACCCAGCCATTTAGCAGAGTTGTCTTTAGTAGGCCAACACAAACACACAACACTATACATACGAGACACGATTTCACAGATATTATAAGTAGTCTTCTCTCTCTGAGCCCACAGAGGGTTAGAATCGTAGAGTTGGAAGGAACCAGTAGGATAATGGGACTTGAACCCAATACGTTTCCGAGCACAATTCAAAGTGTTGGTGCTGACCTTTAAAGCCCTAAACGGCCTTGGTCCAGTATATCTGAAGGAGCGTTTCCACCCCCATCGTTCTACCCGGACACTGAGGTCCAGCACCAAGGGCCTTCTGGCGGTTCCCTCACTGCGAGAAGCCAAGTTACAGGGAACCAGGCAGAGGGCCTTCTCGGCAGTGGCGCCCTCCCTGTGGAATGCCCTCCCATCAGATGTCAAAGAGAACAAAAACTACCAGACTTTTAGAAGACATCTGAAGGCAGCCCTGTTTAGGGAAGCTTTTAATGTTTGATGTAGTACAGTATTTTAATTTTTTTTGGAAGCCGCCCAGAGTGGCTGGGGAGGCCCAGCCAGATGGGCGGGGTATAAATAATAAATTATTATTATTATTATTATTATTATTATTATTATTATTATTAAACCCACAACTCTGAGACTAAGAGTCTCATGTTCTACCAGCTGGGCTTTGTTTCAAAGTTCTTGCTGTGTTAAAGTCCACAACCAGGTCCTTAGTTTAGTAGCTTGCAAAGTCTTGCAACTGATAGAGTTCTCTGACTTCGCCAATTTCCCAACTCCTTCCTCAGTCAATCTCTTCAAAAAGTCTTCACTCAAATCCACAGTTCCAACAGACGGCCTCTAAAAATTCATGCAATCTCCTACAATGACCCACACATCATGCTGGAACCCACACTCTTTAATACACAAAGTTACTTGCCAAATCCACCCAGTAACACAGATAAGAGAGTCACAAGATGCCTGCAGGTGCATTTTTGGTCATCTCTGCTGACTCATGGAGAAGTAACCCATTAGCTGCATTCCTTAACATCCTGCCCATTGGCTGATGGATGTCAAAACTGAGGCCTAATTGATTGGCTGTGCAAGTGAGCTCCTCACAGGGAACTCGCTCACATAATCAATGCCTGAAAAAGGCAAGCCTGGTGAGCGGGAGAACCAGAGCCTGCTGAATCAGTTGTGCAGGGCTTGGAATGCACTTTGTGCAGAGGTCCTCAAATGACCATACTGGAGGTGGTTGTAATAATCAACCCTCTGAAGGCACGTAAGCCATGCACTATTGCGCAATGTTCTTTGTAGTGACCTCTCGATTAATCCTAGGGCAGTCATTGTCTAAAGATGGCAGAGGTGAATAGGTTTGTTTCTATTAGTGGAAATCTTGCTTGATATTTTGGCTCTTTGCTGAAACAGCAGGCTTTCTTTTGTCGGCATTGATTTCCGCGCTCAAAAATAATGAAGCCAAATAGGACCCTTTGATCTGCTGACTACTTGGTTGAATGGTAAATGGCCCAAAGAAAGAAAGTGATCAATAAAATAAATTATTTGGGTATCCTTTTAATAACAAAATCAGCATTGTGTATTTCTGCCGGGGGCGGGGAGTATTTGTCCAACACATGCTGGTTCAGCAACATATTTTTGCTCATTTCTAGGTAGGGACCTGGCCTTTGAATGGAATTCATTGGGGAGGCTGAGCTGGTTCAATTGGTTAGAGCATAGTGCTGATAATGCCAAGGTCAAAGTTTTGATCCCTGTATGGGTCAGCTGTGTATTCCTGCATTGCAGGGGATTGGACGAGATGATCCTCAGGATCATCTTCCAACTCTATAATTCTATGATTCTTCTGCCTGAGGTGGAGCAGCAAAAGTCAAGGTGTATTAGCCATTGGCTGCCTAAAGTGCCCCCTTACCTCATGGTAGGGCTGGCCCTGATTCAGCACCAATCATGCCAACCAGTTAAGCATTTAAAGCTAGGAGCTGTCAGAAATACAGATGCATCTGAAGAATAATCGCTTGTGATCTGAAACACACAATGGGAGGCTGCCCCTAAACAAACATGGTCTCCTCCTGCATTCGTGCAACACAGTTAGTAGAGGAAACCCAACTCTTAACATGGTGTGTGTATATAAAACAGGAAAGCATGAAATTTCAGGGCGCATTCAGCATTGCAGTTGAAAAGCAAAGGCTAATCAATATTGCTTCATCACCTTTCGGTTTGCAAAACAAGCAAGGCAGAGCAAGGTTTCCAAGTGAACAAATAACACAGTTTCCTACACTGCACAGTACAGCAGGAGAATTAAGTATAGTGTCTCACGCTTGTGGATGCGATACTCAGAGGGAAAGGTCTTGCGAGAGGACAGATCTGATGTTGAAATGAAGTCTGGTGTCCCAGGCTCTAGGCCTGACTTACTCTTCTCATTCTAGACTGGATTGCTTCCAATCAAATGTGTGAGAGTCGGTGTAAACCCAAAAGAACACAGATTTGAATCAAATTGTGTGTTTCTCACTCAGTTATTCTGCGTTTCAGGGAATTGGGATTTGACCCCTTTTCCCTTCCAGGAAGAGAAAGTGTGGGTATGATGAGATAGGAGAAGATTGCTGTCCGATCCTCTTCAGACAGCATAATTAGAGTTTTTATAAGGAAGGTAGAAGATATACTGCAGGGCTCGATATATATGGAGTGACGTGACATTGGAGCTTATGGGACTGTACTCTGCAATTGCAGAGGGATTTGCCTCAGTTTGCATTACTGTCAGACCCCTGCCTACCCCATGCATTCCCCCCCTCCAGTTTCTCATTAATAGTTATTTTTATCTTCAATTTGTCAAGAAGCAAAGCTGGCACTCTTCTCTGGCCCTCCTGACAACTCTGCATCTTTCACCCATCTCAGTGTCTTGCTTTGCTTCTGGGCTCGCTAGAAATGATTGCTTTGCGGCTGACTGTTGCTTTTTTGCTTAGAATTTTCAGCCAGCTAACTCCTTTGCCAGCTTCCCAGTAATTTGTTGCCATGACTGTTGGATAATATCCCTTGCTTTGTGTGTGTTCTAATGAGCTCAATGGTTCAATTTGAGCTTCTGCATCTGGTACAGATAATAAGCATGACAACTCCCTTAGTCACATCCATGACTGAATGAGTGGGGTACAGGAGGCTCAATGGTTTAAAATAGATCTCTGTAGACTGTGCCTGCTTCAGACCCGGAGCAAAATAGCTAAACAATATGTTCTTACACCGCTAATAAATTCTACCTGGGCAAATGACAACTCTTAAGAGACGGGTGGTATTTCAACACAAAATGTATTTCTAAGTATGGAGCTCCTTTATTCCCTGCCTGTAACTGGGACTTACTTTCTTATTAGGTAGCTATTTGTTTCTGTGCCTGCAAATCCTAAAAAGATTTGCATTGGGCTCCTCTGATTCCGAAACAATTTCCAACGTGACAAAACTTTCTCAAAAGTTTTCTTCTGCTGTGAGAGAGTCTTCTGGCTCCTCTGCCTCATTTGCACGGCATATTGAACTGGTTAAGGGCTCGACAGATAATAAAAGGAAGCAGAGTTATAAAGATAGTTATAAAACTGCTCACTTTTGCTAAGCAGGGTGCCCAGAGGGGAATAATATTGATAATATACGCCCTACTTTTACATTTGCAATTTTCAGCCGACGATTGACTTAGGTAGGTATGGGGGTCAGATCTTGAGGGCCAACCTGATGTGTCTCAGTGGACAAAGCTCTGGTCCACTCACCCTTTTAAGACCAGTTTCTGCCAGCAAAAGGGATAATTCTTTAAAAGTCATCCATTGGTGATATTTTACCCAAATAGGTCTGGCTTATATTACAAGATCAGGATCGCCTTTGCACTGGTGGATCTAGAGGGAGTGGAGATCCTATTGGCATATGTGTTGGAGTTGTGACAAAGTTCATAAATTCTGGAAATAAGTGATTAGAAAAGCTAGTATACTTATAGGTAAAAATGTGAACTTGGATCCTAGACCGTGTATTTCATCTCTTTTTAATCAAGGTAATGTGGCTCTTATGGGTAAACAGCTAATTGTATATCTCCTGGTAGCCCCTCAATTAGTAATCCTTCAAGGATGGAAAGATGTCTCATGTTATACCCTAGATAACTGGTTCAGGAAAGTTATGTCCATTGCAATCTCAGAGAAACTGACCCATAATCTTCGTAAGGCTAGGGGTGATGCTGATTCTTCTCACTTTAGCCCTGTTTGGGGGCTATATGACAACACAATCACCCGGGTGGCAAATCCCCTCAAATAATAATAATAATAATATATTTATTTATACCCCGCCCATCTGGCTGGGTTTCTCCAGTCACTCTGGGCGGCTTTCAACAGAATATTAAAATACAATAATCTATTAAACATTAAAAGCTTCCCTAATTATGATTTCATTTGGCAGTATCTATAAACCGACAAGACCTTTATCATAGAACTGTAGAGTTGGAAGCGACCCCAACCCATTACAATGCAGGAATCTTAACTGAAGCATCCACGAAAAGATGGCCATTCAACCTCTGTTTCAGAAAGTGCACAATAGTTTTATTTGTCTTTAAATATGAATGCATCAAATTTCTCTTGCATCCTTCCATTGCCTTAATCTAGCTGGCATCCTCAGCTTTATCAAGTACTCGTGGCTTATCCTTTGCAAGGACCCAGCATTCTATGCCTTGAAGCCATGCCTTGGGAATATCTCTGATGAAGAATGGCTACATGAGAGACATGGGGGATTTGTGTATGTTTTACATTCTGAAGAGAAAATGCGTCACAGAGTGAACTATTATGGGTCATATTTCTTTTTGCTTACTTTGTTGTTCCCGAGAGATCCATAGAGAACAGCTGTCTCTTTTTCTATTTCTTGAAAGTGCTGTGTGTGTGTGTGTGTGTGTGTGTGTGTGAGAGAGAGAGAGAGAGAGAGAGAGAGAGGGAACAAAAACTGCCTTAAGTAGTATTTTGTCAAAGCTCTGCTTTGGCTTGAGATTTCTGCGCAGCAAATTGTGTTGAGTGTGACTTAATAAATAAAATCTTTAAATTACTGTAAAACTGATTTTTATTTTTATTTTATATAAAATTCATATGTATAGTACTTATATGTACTATTGGCCTTACTTTCACCATTTATATTGAAATTCAAGGCATTCACTTATGTAACAACATAGAAATATATATACTACCCAGATTTTATATGCTGCATTTTGGCTTAACTGGCAATGTTAGAGAGTTAACAAAGCTGTGTAGTGGAATATATGTCAAAGCTGGAATGTCTAAAACTGGTAAATTTAAAACTAAGTAACTCCTTCAAAAACATGCTTCTCAGATTTGAAAATGGTGAATAAAAATGTCACAGACTTGAGAAGTGCGAATAATGTCTGTCATGCATGAAAAACAGAAGCTCTAGTCTTCAATCTACTAAAAAGATCAAGATAATAGCCTTGCTATTTATTTCATTATATTTGATTTTCACAATCTCAGGCTGGAATACGGCAACTGATTGTCCTGTATATTTTAGCGGATGTACAAACATTATATTAGAGGTTACTGTCCACACACTTTTGTATGCAGATACTGGTGGTTAGGTAAACCTCTTTCTAAACTGTTTAGCAGAGCTTTTCTTTCTCTCTCGCATGTGCAGAAGTGGTGAACAATGATGAAGTTGTTTTAAAGATGACTCACCAAACTGTGAAGTCTCGGTCAAGACATTTTATTCCCAGACCGGGTAGAAGCATTAAGGTTGCAAAAGAAATATTTTGACTGTTAACGTAAAGAGTACACTATCAGACAAAAGTCATATCTCCAGCACGTTGTAAATGACAGGAGCAGTCCTTCACAGGCAGCACTCTTTGGTCAGACATATGCCACCAAACGTCAGCAAACACGAGGCTGAGTGGTCTTCTTTTTATTAGCACTTCCAGCTGACCCTAATTAAGCTCAGAGTGCCACTCCCAAATTTAAGGGGGAAAACTCTGGAACCTTCTCAGAAACTTCTACTTGTTTCTTTGCAGAATGATTCCCTGACACACTAGATAAAAATTCACTTAAAAATACTGAAGACTAGAGTGATTCGGAGGACAGTAGATAAGTTCGCTAGAACTGTTTAGCTTACAAGACCAGGGTGAAGGCTAAACTAGAACTCTTTTGCCTGACCTCTAGTTTTGCGCTGAAGACCAGTAACAAGACAGTCCCTGCTTGCTATCTAAAAGAAAAAGGAGTACAAGGGAAAGGGAAAGGGAGACAGAGCAGCAATGGTGGTGGCAGCAACAGGGGGGCAAGTGCCCTCCAAGCAAGGAAATCACCCTGTACTCGCTCCCCCACTGCTGCACTCCTGTCATGTACCATATTTTCCTGTGTATAAAATTATGCATTTTGCTAAAAAAATAAGGCAAAAATTGGGTGTCGTCTTATAGACAGATAGTGAATGCGGGGTGGGGAAAGACGTGTGATTAATGGCAGCAGCAAGCAGGAGATTGTCAGTGGCAACTGGACGGGTGATTGGTGGCTGCGGCAAGGCCTGCTGGTGATTGGCTGTGGCTGCAGCAATTGGGCAGGCGATTGGCGGCTGCGGCGAGGTGTGCGATCGGCAGTGCCGGGCAGGCGGGTGAGCGACTGGCAGAAGTGACCTCCCCCACCTCCCAAAAAAGCTAAACAACTTCATTTCTTAAATCTGGGTTAAAAAAAATAGGGGTCGTCTTACACATGGGGGCGTCTTATACACGGAAAAATACAGTATGTTTATTTTTCTTTCAGTGATCTTAGCA